ATTATTATATTTACAAATACAAATAACTAAATAGCTAATAAGATAACATAATTATAAGAAAACACAAATACTAAATTTAAAATTATATTTTAAATAATAAAATTATGTTACCCAATTATTTTTTTTGTTTTAAATTATTTTAAAACTAAACTAAATTATTAATACAGACTCGCGCGTAGCGCGAGTATAAAATCTAGTCTATACTATATAAAAGTTGAGGTTATAAGCCATTGAGAGCGTCCACGTAGGATTTAAGTCCTCCAATCGTATAATGACACATCATTATATTAATTTATTATTTTTAGAAAATGTCATTGTTTCCAAATTATATTAAAAACAAAATTAATATATATACTATATAAAAGTTGAGGTTATAAGCCATTGAGAGCGTCCACGTAGGATTTAAGTCCTCCAATCGTATAATGACACATCATTATATTAATTTATTATTTTTAGAAAATGTCATTGTTTCCAAATTATATTAAAAACAAAATTAATATTCCATATATAATTTAACAAAAAAATAAATATTAACATTTTACAAATTACATAAAAATGTTAACTTTTATAAAAAAATGGAAAATCAAAAATAAAAAGGTAATATTAACAAAACATTATTGTCTTTTTAGATATACTAAATGTAAAATATCATTTTTAGAAAATTTCAATGCCCCAAATTATATTAAACACGAAATTAATATTCCATATATTATTTAACCAAAAAATAAATATTACAATTTTACAACTTGCTTAAAATGTTAACTGTTATAAAAAATGGAAAATAAAAATAAAAATATTGTCAAATCATTATTATCTTTTTTAGATATACTAAATATAAAGTATATTTTATACAAAAAAATAAAAATATAATAGTAAAATAGTAAAAGCAACAAAAATCGTCTTACAAAAATAAAATAAATTTAATTTATTTTCTTAAAATATCATTGTTTCCAAATTAGTTTAATTAAAAAATATATTATCTAATAAATTAGGTTATTAATATAAATTATTAGTTTTAAAATGTTAAGATTTCCAAATTTAAATGTTAGGATTTCCAAATTTCTCTATATCAACATAAAATGGAATAAAGCAAATTATTAATATAAGTTATTAGTTTTTAAATTGTCAAGATTTCCAAATTTAAATGTCTGGATTTTCAAAAGTCTGTATATTAACATAAAATAGAATAAAAGAGGTTATTAGTATAAAATATTAATTTTTAAAAGGTCAAGATTTCCAAATTTTAATTTTAGGATTTCCAAATGTTTGTATACTAACATAAAATAATTGTCTTCTAAAAGTTTTCAAAATATATGCTGAAGAACAGAGGGATATTGGAAAGAGAAAAGAGATATTGATACAATGGTTGCTTTGACTTCTTCTTTGGTTTTCGATTATCTTAGAAAATTCCATATATTATTTAACTAAAAAATAAATATTACAATTTTACAACTTGCTTAAAAATGTTAACTGTTATAAAAAATGGAAAATAAAAATAAAAATATTGTCAAAACATTATTATCTTTTTTAGATATACTAAATATAAAGTATATTTTATACAAAAAAATAAAAATATAATAGTAAAATAGTAAAAGCAACAAAAATCGTCTTACAAAAATAAAATAAATTTAATTTATTTTCTTAAAATATCATTGTTTCCAAATTAGTTTAATTAAAAAAATATATTATCTAATAAATTAGGTTATTAATATAAATTATTAGTTTTAAAATGTTAAGATTTCCAAATTTAAATGTTAGGATTTCCAAATTTCTCTATATCAACATAAAATGGAATAAAGCAAATTGTTAATATAAGTTATTAGTTTTTAAATTGTCAAGATTTCCAAATTTAAATGTCTGGATTTTCAAAGTTCTGTATATTAACATAAAATAGAATAAAAGAGGTTATTAGTATAAAATATTAATTTTTAAAAGGTCAAGATTTCCAAATTTTAATTTTAGGATTTCCAAATGTTTGTATACTAACATAAAATAATTGTCTTCTAAAAGTTTTCAAAATATATGCTGAAGAACAGAGAGATATTGGAAAGAGAAAAGAGATATTGATACAATGGTTGCTTTGACTTCTTCTTTGGTTTTCGATGATCTTAGAAATTTTTTTAATAAGAATGAATTTCTTGCCAGAATGATTCACTTTTGCAAAGCACGTAACATCAATAAGGTTGGTTTGCTAATGAGTTTCGAGTTATTAATTATTGATGAAAAGGTATGAAAAAAATTATTTAGATATTATCTATACAATACAAAATTTGAGGCTATAAGGGCGTCTACGTAGAATTTAAGTCCTCCAATCATATCATGACACATAAGTTTTTTGATTTGTTATTTTTAAAAATGTTAATGTTACTAAACAAAATATGTATAAGGGAAACTTTAAAAAATAAAACATTATATATAATTTAATTTTAACATTAAAATAACAAATTATCTTAATTTTAATATTTTGGAAAAATTCAATATGACTATAACGACCACATATGATTTAAGTATTCCAATCATATCATGACACATAAGTTTTTTGCTTTGTTATTTTTTAAAAATGTTAATGTTACTAAATAAAAAAAATAATAAATATGTATAAGGGAAACTTAAAAAAAGAAAATCATTATATATAAGTTAATTTTAACATTTATAGATTTTCGAAATTAATTAAAATAACAAATTATTTTAATTTTAATATTTCGGAAAAAGTCAATATGACTATAACGACCACATAGAATTTAAGTCTTCCAATCTTATCATGACACGTAAGTTTTTTGATTTGTTATTTTTAAAAATTTTAATGTTACTAAATAAAAAATAGTAATAATAATAAATATGTATAAGGGAAACTTAAAAAAGTAAAATATTATATATAAGTTAATTTTCTAATTTATAGATTTTCAAAATTAATTAAAATAACAAATTATCTTAACTTTACTATTTCTGTAAAAGTCAATATTAAAACAATTATTAATTTCAAAACAAAATATAAATTAATATCAAATATGAAAAATTTACAAAAATAAAACATCATATATAAGTTAACTTAATTTATAAAATAATTTCGAAAATAACATAGAATAATTACCAAAAATAATTAGTCAAATAATTATATTAATTTTGCTATTTCTTAAAAGACTGAATAGTAAACCAAACTAGAACTTCTCAATACAGTTAATAAGTACAATTATTCATTACATATAAAAAATCTAAATATTACTTATTTAAATATTAAAATTTTATACAACTTAAAGAGAAAATAAAAAATTAAATTTTTAGAGTACAAACAAAAATTATATAATATGCTGAAGTTAAATTATTTATTTTGTTAAAAATATAAAAATGTATGATGAAAATTTATAACGTGTTAACCGTTTACATGTTGAGAAATCTATTTAATATTATAAAATATAAATTAATATTTCCAAAAATTATGAATATGTTTAAAACATAATTATTATATTTACAAATACAAATAACTAAATAGCTAATAAGATAACAAAATTATAAGAAAACACAAATACTAAATTAAAAATTATATTTTAAATAATAAAATTATGTTACCCAATTATTTTTTTTTATTTTAAATTATTTTAAAACTAAATTAAATTATTAATACAGACTTGCGCGTAGCGCGAGTATAAAATCTAGTAACAAAAAAAGAAACAGCTCGGTGGGATTAGTAAAAGATCTGGTTCGGTTTTGTCTTTTAATTGGATATTAATTACGTACGCTTAGATCTCGGTTGATAATTTCTTTTTGAAAAAAGTTAGGTCCTTCACACCTTTTATCGATTCACAGCTGGATTCTCATGTTCTTCTTCTTCCTTCTTCTTCAAACCTTTCCGGGACACTGTGGCAAGATTCTTGGCAATAACTTGAGCTTCTTAGCTTTGATCTGCTGTTCATAATCATCTCCTCAAGTTCGTGTGAGTTCTTGCTTCACTCAACTGCAATCATTCGTCTGAAAATAAGAAAAAGTTTCGAAATGATGTCTCCAAGATATAAGATCTATTAAAAACAAGTTCGTGTCTTTGAAGTCCTTTCTCATCTTTTTTTAATTCAATTTTTGCAGATTTGTAATTAAGATGCTGAGATATTGACTGGAAATAGATGTTGAGTTTGTGGCAGCTATGTTTAGAGTTCAATCTTTCATTACAAGTTCAAAGCTTCGATTTTTTTTCATAGAGAAAATGAAACTGTTAAGAGTTGCTGGTGTAGTTTTCATTTTAATCTTAACCTTCCAGTTCGTGAACATACGTTACTATGGTGGTGAGATATTCTCTTTATCTTCTCAAGATGAGTTTCCTGTATCCTTACATGAAAGCACAGAACTAATCAGACCATTGCCTGGTCCTGAAAGAGTTAATGTTAGTAGTTTGAGATCAGCTGAAGAGGAAAAAACCGGTTTAGAAGGAGGTTATGTAACTGGCTCTGATACGAATGTTAGTGTTCAGTCTCATCATGATAGTCTTGTAGAGGATGCAAAAGATAAGGAAGTGCTGATAGAGACAAGAAGCAGCTTGAACGGGAGTGATGCTGAGATTGTTAATGAAAACAATAATAGAATTGTGGAGAATCTAGATAGTAAATCTGATGATAGTTTAGTAGAGGCTGCAAAAGATAAGGATGCTCTGGACTCGCTGGTGGAGACGAGAAGCAGTTCTAACGAGAGTTATGTGGATATTGTGGAAGATGCTGACATTGTTAATGAAAACAATAGGAATGTGGAGATTCTGGAGAGTAGATCTGTTGATAGTCTTTCCCCAGAGGTGAAAAGAGTAATGAATGTTTCAAAATCTGGGGTGGTTTCTGTTGCTGAGATGATGAATCTATTGCATCAAAGCCGCAGTACTCATGTCTCATTGGTATGTGTTTTTGTTTGTCTCTGACTAGACAAACAGTGTTCTGGTTTCTACTACTACTACTACACCTTGGTATCTCATTATATTTATTATTTTTCAGAAAATGAAACGGCCTTCTGCAGTTGATCAGGAGCTGTTGTATGCAAGAAACCAAATTGAGAACTCACCTATGGTGGAGAACGACCATTTACTGCACGGTCCTTTGTATTGGAATCTGTCCAGGTTCAAAAGGCAAGTCAGTATATAGTTTTACGCGTTTTGACGGCATATATGTTTTAATATCGTTAACTTTATCCTCTAACTAAGCGTAGATTTGGTTTCTACTTCTAAGAAGGCTTTGAGTACTCATTAGTCATTAGTGATTCAGTTGTCTTTTCTTTTTTAGTTCCTTGTATCTTTGATCTTCTGTTTAGTATCTTCAGTTGTTATGATCTTTGTATACCTCCATTATTTATGATAATCTCTACACATTCGTTTTTGTATTTTGCCAAATGGCTATGAGTTGTGTCTTGCTCGGTTTTCATGGCTCTTCATCTATATTTTTCAAGTGCAGGAGCTATGAGCTAATGGAGACAAAGCTCAAAGTATATATCTACAGGGAAGGCAAAAGACCTGTATTTCATAAGCCAGTACTAAAAGGGATATATGCATCTGAGGGATGGTTTATGAGACAGCTCAAAGCCAGCAAAACATTTGTCACGAAAAACCCGCGTCAAGCTCACCTGTTCTACCTTCCTTTCAGCTCCAAAATGTTGGAAGAATCTCTTTATGTCCCTGGTTCTCACAGCGACAAGAATCTCGTTGAGTTTCTGAAGAACTATTTGGACATGATTTCCTCTAAGTATCACTTCTGGAATAAAACTGGAGGATCAGATCATTTTCTTGTCGCTTGTCATGACTGGGTAAGTCTTTTTAAGTTCTACTATATCCGATGAAGCCACCTTTGATCCACTTCTTCTTTGTCTTTCAGGCTCCTTCCGAGACAAGACAGTACATGGCTAACAGCATCAGAGCATTATGCAACTCTGACGTTTCAGAAGGTTTTGTATTTGGTAAAGATGTAGCACTTCCCGAGACAACTATTCTTGTTCCCAGGAGACCACTTAGAGCTCTCGGAGGCAAACCCATTTCACAAAGGCATATACTTGCCTTCTTTGCAGGTGGGATGCACGGTTACCTTAGACCTCTCTTATTACAAACCTGGGGAGGTAACAGAGATCCAGACATGAAGATATTCAGTGAGATACCCAAATCTAAAGGGAAAAATAAGAGTTACATGGAGTACATGAAGAGCAGCAAGTATTGCATTTGCCCAAAAGGGCATGAAGTTAATAGTCCTAGGGTTGTGGAGGCACTGTTCTATGAGTGTGTCCCTGTTATCATATCTGATAACTTCGTACCTCCTTTCTTTGAAGTCATAAACTGGGAGTCTTTTGCAGTGTTTGTGTTGGAGAAAGATATACCTGATTTGAAGAAGATATTAGTGTCGATAACTGAGACAAGATATAGAGAGATGCAGATGAGAGTGAAGATGGTGCAGAAGCATTTCCTTTGGCATTCTAAACCTGAGCGATTTGATATATTTCATATGATACTTCATTCTATTTGGTACAACAGAGTTTTTCAAACTTGAAACCACTTATTACCATATTAGTTTTGAAATCTGTAGAACATGCATGTGATTAGCAAAGATTCATTAATACAAAACTAAGACTAAACTTACAAGATTGGTAACTACAACCAGATCATTTGATTGTTCCCGAAGCAACAAACAAGTTTATGAAAACGCGTCTGACTATGTTTTCTCCTCCTTTTCATAACATTATATCATATAGTAATGTTTCTTTTCTAATAACATAACTAGCGTATTAAAAACAAAAAAAAAATCATTATATCTTGAATGTTTTGATTTATCTTCATCGTAGACGTCAAACAACAAACAATCAATCATAATACATGTGGCTGTTTTGAAAGAGATCGATCTTTAGGTCCCAAAAACAGCGAAATAAGCTTGATGAACCTTTGGTTTGCTTTCTTTATAAAAAGAACGTTTGCATGATTGGCTTGTGGATAGTCGACAACAGACATTGCTTTGGACACAACATAATGGCATACTTTTCAAAGGCTTAAAACGATATGTATGGCTACTTGCTCTACTTGTTAATTGTTCATGTGTTTCTTTTAGTGGAATACACTTTTTGTGTATATTGTGTCCTACGTTGAAGTCAGAATCCATATTTTTGGTTTCATACAAAATAAGAGAACCTAATAGGTATTGCTTGTAACCATCATCGGTACAAATTATTCAAAAGAGGACCACATAGCGTTCGCTATATGATGTTATTATTTTCTTCCATAGTTCCTATAGAAGATATACATATACACCCAATGTACTAATTATCATGAAAGATTACAAAGAAAAATAAACAATTGTTCGTATGGGTTAGGAGTTAGCCAGCGAGATAATCGAGTAAACTCTCTTGGCTTTGATATTAATGAATAAAAAGAAAGATAAGAAACCAATATTAAAAGCTCGTTTTAGTGGCTTCTTCGTTAGTATTATGTTCAAGCGTTCGAGATTCTGTGTATATGTTGAGGTTGCTTACGGGCCTTGCGGCTGAATTATTGTAGTTTAATTGTGAGCTACAAGTAAATAGTAATGGATTGCTTTGGATACTAAGCGAGATTCTAATTTTCTTATTCCTAAAGCCAAACTCGTTAAGTGTGTGTGTGTCTTACCATAAATCTTGATTCAATAATTCGTTCATGCCAAAGTAAGAATAATCGAGAGTGCTGTTGAGTTCTGGAGGAGTTGGATTTTGATCTCGGTAACAAATGATATCAGAACTCGAGAACTCAAAATGTTTTTCAAACTTTCTGTCATAGAGAAGGTTCTATAGGTATTGCAAGACGAGAGTGGATGCAAATGCCAATAAATAACAACGGTTAGGGTGTTGATTAAGAAAAGAGAATAGAGAAGACGTCTTTCTAATTAATGAATAAGGTCTAAATATAAAGTACATATTCATTATTAGTATATGAACTAATTTTATATTTTTATTTTTCTTAAGTTATATAATTTATTTAGTTGTATATATTTGATATTTCCAATGATGTAAAATAATATGTCATTTAAATTTTTTTTTTTTTTTTTTTTTTTGATAACTCAGGTGTCCGGGGCTTATTTAGAGACCCGACTATCCCCGAAGTGGTCCTGAAGGCCAAACGGAAACCATGTTAAATCCGTTGTGGCCGGGGTTCGAACTCGTGATGGCGGGCACCTCAGCCGAGGTTCCTTTACCACCAGATCACGAGGCCCGGTTTATGTCATTTAAATTTACCACTACATATGTATACACATATTGTATTCGGAAAAACAAAACGAAAATGTGTAACGCTATATTAAAAACCATTAAAATCCCATTTAGCCTATCAACACGAACTTAAAAGGTGCTAAAAAGGAAACTTGACCATCCATATCCAGAAGAAGATTAAACATGCCGTGGTAATTTAAACTCAAGGAGAAGAAAATGTAGTCAGTTTCCAGCCCTAGCTCGTTTTTTACTGGTAAATATTGCACTTTTTTTCTCGTGTCGACGAGTCAAAACCGGTAAATATTGTAATATTTTTTTCTTGTATCGACGAGTCATATTGTACTTTTAACTATGAATAAATAAAAAAGTTTTATTATAATAAGTACCTTGTAATATAGTTGCAGGGTGCAATAATTGTACCACGTGCGACCATGGTTGGTCGTAGTTGGAACACGTGTTAAGCGGAGCGTAAGCCGTAGACAAAAAAAGGGTCCAAGAGTTGTCGAGAGGACACTACCAGTGCTACACATCAATACAGCTGTGATTATCTTTTCCGTACGACCTTTTCATCTTCTTCTTCAACATTTGTCGACCTCTCTCTTATATACTATATAGTCCTTTGTGTTATCTTATTCATAATTAAATTGTTGCATTCATTAAATTCATTCAATGTTTTAGTCTGTTGAAACCGGATTCCAGCTCAGATCCAGTGGCTGGAAACAGAACAAAATACTTGAAAAAATAAGAAAAAACTATGTGGATTGTGGACGACGATAAAAGAATAGTACACAAGGGACAATGACATAACCATCAACAGTTGGACATTGATGTTGTTTTAAGCCTTTGCAAAAAGAGTAACTGTAATTAAAAAAACTAATATCTGAAATTAGTAATCTCAAAAATACCTTCAAATATCTCCAATTTCATTTCATTTTTTTTTACTCTAAAATAGAGTTTTACCTCTAAATAAAATTTGGAGTAAAAAATATTCTAACTCTACTCCAATTTTTTTATTATAGAGTAAAAGATGATATTACTTCATAGTAAGAGCATCTCAATATATAAACAAAAAATTCCTTTAAAATAAAGTAAAAGATTATATAGAATAAAAATGCTTTAACCATATTATATATCTTCACTCCATAATGGAGTAATGAACAAACAAAAATAGATTACTCTATTTAGAGCATCTCCAAAAGACACTCTATAACATCAAATATAGAGTTTTTGGCTCTTTAAAAAAAACTTCAAAACTTCAAATTTGAAATTTTGAGAATTGAAACTTTAAATATGAAGTTTCAATTCTCAAAACTTCAAATTTGAAGTTTCATCTTTTATTTACATTTTGGTCCTTACAATTAGTTATATATATTACATTTATGATTTGCAATATTTTCTCGTTTAACCTTTTAATCCTTAAAAATTTTATATTTTATAAATATTTCAGATTTGTTTTTATAAATTTAAGTTTTATACATAAAACTTTAAAATAAAATTTATATTATTTTAAAACTAAATTAGACTTCACAAATATTACAAAAGAAACTTTTTTTAAAGAAGACTTTTAAAAAAGGCACATGAAAAGCATAGTTATTACATAAATTAAAATATTACAAAAATATTAATAGTATGGTAAATTTTCTCTGAAACCTTCAAAATCTCTAAAATATTATCCAAATAAGTATTGTGTAACTGAAGATTGAGCATTATGGAAATAATTTTATGAAATAATATGATATTTTGTTTGTAGTTTATTATTTAGTTATGTATTTCTATTTACAGTTTTATATTTTAAAGCAAATGTTTTTTTAATTAATTATATTTTTATGTTTTTTCATATATGTGCTAGTTATTTATAAAAAGTTATGAATTTATATTAATTAGGGTCGACGATCTATTTCCCCACGAGAAGTATCATATAGCACCAAATATCCACGAAACTATGACCCCTTTCTATTTACCCCCGAGAATAAAGTCCCCAACCTACATCCCCACCAAATTTGGTTTAGTTATGATTTCTGAAAACCGAATTTCAAATCTCCACTCTCATATAGTAAAATCGAGCAAAACTAAAACCAATACAAATTTAAAAACCCGACCAAACCCTTATCTAGATCAGAATAGTAACCCGATCCAACATTCAAACTTAAAAATATTATACTGATTGAATCTTAATCTGGTTAGTCATTGGCGTAACATGATCTACAGTTTGTTTATAAATAGTAAACCAATAAAAATCGATTTTGTGGGTTTTTAGATTTGATCTTTATAATTGTGGGGAAATATCGATATAACTTTAATTTGGTGAGGAAATAGGTTGCAAACTTTATTTTCAGGGGTAAATAGAATGAGATCATAGTTCCGTGAACATTTGGTGCTATACGTTACTTCTCGTGGGAAAATAGGTCGTCGATCCTATTAATTATGACAAATATAAGGACCATAGAGTAAAATACAAATAGTTTTAAAGTTAGTTTTGAAGTTTTGATTTTGGAGAAGAACACATTGAAACTTCAAAAATAGAGTTTTGTAAACTTTAAAATAGAATGTCTCTTTGGAGATGCTCTTATAGAGTAAATTTTATTATAGAGTGAAAAATATATTAGGATTGAAGTATTTTCTATTTCATATTCCTTTTTACGATATTTTAGAGTATAAATAGAACGATTTCATCATGAAATTGAATTTACTCCAATTTTTAAAATAGAAAATAAAATAATAGATAAATAAATAAATAAATCATTAGAGCAATATACCAAAATAAAAAAATAAAGTGGTACATTGGATATGCTCTCAACCAGAAGAGTATCATTTAGTTCGTTGCTTCTATGCATAGCTCGTAAAATGTTTTGCCAAACATATTGATTAATATATATTTCTGTCGAATTGAGGGCGACTTAATTCTAACACAATTGATGTTATTATGATCGAGTACTCGATCATAATAACATCAATTGTGTTAGAATTAAGTCGGAGACTACTCGGTGAGTTATTATGTATTCGGTGGCTGATTTTATTCAGAATTTGTGTGGATTTGATAAGCAATGGTTCCTATTCATGGATATATACGGGTACAGCTTTTTATCAGTTCTTCCGAGTTCTTACATTCTGATCAACATTGTCATATAAATAAAACATTCGTGCAAACATAACTAAAGAGAGGAGGACAGCTTTTTAGCAATTCTTCTGAGTTCTTACATTCTGATCAACATTGTCATATAAATAAAACATTCGTGCAAATATAGCTAAATAGAGGAAATTCATACTTTCCAGTAAAAATTGAAAACACCGCGTTATCACTATCTGATATTGTCGACACTGTTGATGATGTATATAATGGAACAACTTTCTAAAATATGAAGGTTCCCCACCAGGAAAGGAAATATAGAAAACGACAACTTCGTAATATTATCTTTTGAATAAATCCATATTGCAATGATGTTACATTTATTGCATGATAGAAAAATCCAATTTGGTGGTTTTAGATACAGAATTAAAATATTAGATTCGTCAGTATACAGTATATGTAATTTAGTGCTTATGTTTATACTTTTTCTCATAGCCAAAATGTGATTCACATTAAAAAGAATAAGGTGTTCTGAAGATATAATTCAATGGCTTGATGATACTAACTTTGTTTTTTTTTCTTTTCTCCATTGTTTTAGTGTTTTGGAACGGACTCAACGGTTCAAGAAGACGTGACTTAATGCATGTACTTGTTAGCTAGAAAGTTATTAGATCCTAGGGTTGCCGACTTAACCAACTCATTTATATCTTGAATGTAAAATACTTTTTGTAGTACGAGTAACGACATAAATAAATAAATAAATAAATAAATAAATAAACAAATTCTTTCTACAATGAGAGTTCAATAAATTCTCAAAAGACCGGTAGCATAGCCAAATGGTTGTGGTCGAGACATGGAAAAGTGATATAACTCTTTTTATGGGGTGTAATTTTTTTCTCCAGACAAAGTTACTTTTATGTGAAAACTTTAAGGCTTTGAATGGAGAAAGCGTATCAAGCGTTGCGTAATTAGTATGGATCAAACGTAACAAGAGGTTTAAGTGTTAATCAAAAGGATCTAGCGATTCAAAACATATGATTGAATGGTGAAAATGGATAAAAAATAGTCCAAAGTATTGTAGCAATTAAATTAATTTATATAAAAACTTGGGAAATTGCCAGAAATAACATTTTCAAGATACCATTTTTCAATTTTACACTAACCAATTTTACCACTAAAATTTTAATATTCAAAATACTATTAGAATTTAGAGTTTTGGGTTTTGGGTTTAGGATTGATAGTTTAGGGTTTAGTGCTGATTTTTTAGGGTTTAGGGTTTACTTTTTAGGGTTTAGAGTTTAGGGTTTAAGGTTGAGAATTGATATTTTAGGGTTTAGGGTTGATTTTTAGGGTTTAGGGTTTACTTTTTAGGGTCTAGAGTTTAGAATTAATGTTTTAGGGTTTATGGTTAATATTTTATTTAATATTTATTTTATGTATATATATAAAAAATAATGATATAAGAGTCTTTTATCCTTTAATAAATGTGTATTTTTGAAAATATTCCTTTATTGATGGTAAATATGAAAAGTGGTACCACCAAAATGGTATAATTGAAATTCTCCCTAAAAACTTCTAATGCTATTTTTTTTCATAATTAAAAAGTGTTATTTGAAAATACTTTATTAATGATAAATATAAAAAACTAAATATAATAGAAAATGACTTTAAACATATGTATTAGGTTAAGTTTCAAAATTAAATATCTGATTTTGGATATTTTAAAACATTATATTTTGATAAAAGTGATGTAAATCAATTTAAAATTATTTCTCAAATATATCTCAGTTAAAGATGAATTGGAAAATAAATTTAATATACACAAAATTAATTAAATAAGTTACCTAAAATTGCCAAAATAGTTATTGTATTTAATAGTTATTCTCAAAACACAAAAGTCAACAATTACATATATGAAAAAATAATAAAGATAAAAAGAAACGTCAAAACTATTCTACAATGGTAGTGGGATTACTGTTGATAGCAGTTCTTTGATTTTACTCACAAATTTTGACTGCATGCAGTCCAAAAATATAATAATATTAATAAAAAAGACGGATCAAAATTGAACTTGCATAAACTCTTGAATGGAAAAACTGAAAGTGGTTCCTACACTTATGTGTGTCACCCACCTTTTGCCCGCTCCCCAATCAAAACCTAAGTTTAAACTTCAGTCAATGCAGTTTATATAGTAGTCTGGTAAGATAAGATCCGGTTATCTTTAAAATTAGTTAAAAAAAATATTTTAAAGTTGGATCAGACAATGTGATAATCAGTCTGCTCTAAATACTAAATGTGTTTCTTTTGGGATGACCAGATCAATTTATATGATACACTGTTAAATATGTACTCTAGCATGCTGTTTGGGCCCGAGAAAGAAGCTGACCAAGTCTGTGTTTCCAGCCGCCAATAAATTACTATGTTAGCAGTCTCATTTTCAGCAATCGTTTGAGTTAGCTGCAATGGTTGAGGTGTTGTTGTGATGTTAAGAGGTAGTAAGTTTGATTCTCTTTAGTTGCCTTTTTTAAAAAAAAATGTCAGAATCACTTGAATAACATGCCAGTTTTTTTAATAGTTGCTTGTACCTATATCAACACCATGACCGGCTCTGCTACCATGCATATATTCGAATGCAGTTACAAATCGTACAAAGTGAAACACTGAAAACAATCAGAGTCTTGTAGTTAATTCTTCTTCTACTTTCTTGGCGAATAAAAATGCAAATCTAATTGTGGAAAAAAAGATCTATGAACTCTGACGTCGTCACATCATGGAAAAAGCAAAAGATAAAACAGCATCTCGTGTTTCGCGTTATAAATTAAAAAAAAAAAGATAGCAAACTTTAAACAAAAATAATTTGTAGTTACAGTACAGTACATCCACCAACCTTACTCGTAGGTAAGCTTCAACTTTATTATGTGTCCCTCATTCTCTTTCCACCATATAAATATATTTATATGTTTTTTTTGTGTGAAATATATGTATATAAGTTAATACTACTAAATATCGAGAAACCATTGAGAGATTTGGAAACATCCAAAAACACGAGACTAGAAGTTTCACAAAATAATATGATACAAACAAGAACTATCTTTTCAAACTCTTACACATTCCAAACAATTTCTCACTCCCTTTGACCAATATTTTTTTTTTCTTTTTATAACAGCTCAAATCTAATTAATATCACATTTCAATAACCACAATGGTGGATTCATCACTTGGTTCCGACAAGAAGAAGAGGAAGAAGGGTAATAAGCAACCTATGTACCGTGGAGTACGCATGAGGAGTTGGGGCAAGTGGGTGTCTGAGATTCGTGAGCCACGCAAGAAATCAAGAATCTGGCTCGGGACTTTTCCCACGGCGGAGATGGCCATGCGTGCTCACGACGTGGCCGCTTTGAGCATCAAGGGAGCGTCTGCCATTCTCAACTTCCCTGAGCTCTCTGAGTTTCTCCCAAGACCCACTTCGCTTAGCCCTCGTGACGTCAGAGCTGCGGCCACCAAAGCGGCTCTCATGGAGTTTGGTACGTCAGCGTTTTGTCACATGAAGTCTGAGAGTGAGATAAGTGAAACGACGTCGAATAAAAGGACAGAGAGCGAGAGTAACGAAATGGTGACGTCTAGTAAAACGTTGGAGAGTGAGACTAGTGAAACGGCGTCGTTCTCTTCTTCCTCTTCGGACTCTGTGACGAGCATTGATGAGGGGGGATGTACGGTCTCGGATGATTTGGACAAGATCGTCGAGTTGCCGAGTCTAGAAACAAGCCTAGACGGGCCTAACGAGTTCGTGTTTTTTGACACGTTGGAGGATTTGGTGTTCATGCCACCATGGTTACATAGTGGTGTGGAAGATGATTTTACGTATAACAATGATTCTCTATTGAGCTCAGATTTTGAGGAAAGCTTTTCTTGGCAACATTATCCCTGAAAAATAAATTTCGTAAATTTCCTTGTTTTTTTTTTTTTTTTTTTTTTTAGTTTTTAATTGGA